GGGGGGAGGCAGGTCATTATCTGTTACAGATTGTGGATCAAGTATTAGAGGTGGTTCTGTGGATTTTAGGCAATGCAACTTTTCTTTAGCACAATTTAGGACACCAGCTAAAGTTTTTCAGGTCAAGTGCTGTAGAAGCACAGAGTTTTAGGCTTACCCTACCTACAAGACCTGCAGGGACAAAGATAGAACAAAGAGAGCAGAGGTTGAGGGAATGTCTAACCAATGCAGGATGAAACCTAAGACCCACCCCAGGGAAGAGAGCCAACCCCTATCTCTATTAACGATACTCTGCTATCTGCTATGCTTGCAGACAAGAGCCTACCAGAGTTGTCCTCTTAGAGGCTCCACCCAGCAATGGCTCAAAACAGATACTGAAACTCATAGCCAAACACTGGGTGAAGCATAGAGTCTACCGGAAAAGAGGGGGGGAAGATAAATGGACCTAGAGGTAACAAAAGATCCACAAGAAGACCATCAGAGCCAATCGACCAGGACCCAGAGTAGCCTATGGAGTCTGAAGCACCAACCAAGAACAATGGATAGTCTGGACCTAGGTCCTTTACTTACAAGTAGCTGAAGAGCATCTTAGGCCTCATGGACCAACCAGTTAGGGGAGCGGGGCATATTTCTGACATGGACTACTTTGCCTGCTTTTTTATCACTTCCTCCTGATGGAACTTCCCTACCAGGTCACAGGGGAGGAAGATGAACTCAGTCCTCATGTGAATAGATGGGCTGGGGTGTCTGGGTAGGCAGTCTCCCCTATTCTGAGAAATAGGGGAGAGGGGATGTGGGAGGGAGTGTAGGACTGGGAGGAGGAGGGGGGCTTATGATTGAGGTGTAAATTGAATTAGTTAAGTAAAAAATGAAAAAAAAATTACTGAAGTGATAGAAACGAAGTTCTGTGCAGATTTAAGAAAAGTAAAGTTAGGATGGGGCTGAGAAAAAATAGAGTGGCCACTGACAGGAGGCCATGACAGTAACTCATGCTGGTGAGTGAGTTGGGAAGGAAAGGAGCACAGGGTGCAAGGGCAAGGCTAAAAGCAAGACAAGCAGAGCTTGCTGAGGTGGAGGGTGCTGGCATGGAGCAGAGGCAGGGCCTCAGAAACCTACATAGGCTCATTGGTTTAAATGTGTTTTCGCAGGTAAGCTCTCTAAAAAGGGACATACCCAGAGGGGATGTCCCACATTCTTAATGGTCGGTCATAAGAGTCCTGGGTTCATGAGCCATCTGTAGCACAGTAGAGAAAAGGCTTGAGGTGGAATGACAAATGCTTCAGCTAAAGAGAGACCACTCTGAGCCCAGAATTTCTCAAGATCTCAAGAAATTAGACACCAACAAATCAAATAATCCAATCAAAAATAGGGTAGAGAGCTAAGCAGAGAATTCTCAACAAAGGAATATAGAATGGCTGAGAAACGCTTAAAGAAATGCTCAGTGTCCTTAATCATCAAGGTAATGCAATTCAAAATAACTCTGAGATTCCATCTTATACCTATCAGAATAGCTTAGATCAAAAACTCAAGTGACAACATGTGCTGGAGATGATGTAGAGAAAGGGGAACCCTCCTCCATTGCTGGTGGGAGTCCAAACTTGTACAACCACCTTGGAAATCAATCTGGTGCTTTCTCAGAAAATTGGGAATAGCACTACCTCAAGATCCAGCCAAACCACTCCTGAGCACATACCAGAACGATGCCTCACCATTTGATAAAGACATTTGCTCAACTATGTTCATAGCAGCTTTATTTGTAATAGCCAGAATCTGGAAACAACCTAGATGACCCTCAGCAAAGGAATGGATACAGAATTGTGGCACATTTACACAATGGAATAACTACTCAGCTATCAAAACCAAGCAAATCATGAAATTTTCAGGCAAATGGATGGAACTAGAAGAGATCATCCTTAGTGAGGTAACCCAGAAACAGAAAGACAGGCATGGTATACTCTCACTAAGAAGCAGATATTAGCTATATAATATAGGACAGCCATCTACAGACCTGAAGAAGCTAAACACTAAGGAGGACCCTAGGAAGGATGCTTAAATCTCATTCAGAATGGCAAACAGGTTAGACACCAGAAAAGGTAAGGGAGGAAACAGGATGGGAGCCTACTACAGTGGGTCCTCTGAAAGGATTCACCCAACAGGGGATCAAAGCAGACGCTGAGACTAGGGGTTAAACTTTGGATAGAGTACAGGGAGTCTTATGGAGGAAGAGAGGGGTGGGAATAGAGGGATATAGAGGGGACAGGAGCCCCACAAGATCAACAAAACTAAAAGATCTGAGCCCAGAGGGTCCTGCAGACTGATGCACCAAAGGAGGACCATGCATAGAGAGGACCTAGAACCCTCCTGCTCAGATGTGACTGATTGGCAGCTAAGTCTCCATGTGGCTCTATGAGTGAGGGGAGCAGGGGCTATCTCTATCATGAACTCAGTTGACTGCTCTTTGATCACTTGCCCCTGGTGATGTGGTCTTGCCATGCCATGGAGGAAAAGGATACCAGCAGTCCTGATGAGACTTAACAAGCTATGGGCAAATGGCAATAGTGGAAAATTTCCCCTTTCAGTGGACTACGGGAAGGGGAGTGGGGAAAGAGGGAAGGTGGGAGGGTAAGACTGGGAGAGTTGAGAGAGGGGCTTTAATCAGGATGTATAATGAATAAATTATGAAGAAAAAAATTTAAAGGAAAAAAAGTTTCTGACATCCACCAAAATAGACATTATGTATGTATTTATGTATGTATGTATGTATGTATGTATGTATGTATGTATGTATGTATGTATGTATGTTTGTATTTATTTTCCTTTGCCAGGGTGGGGATTGTGAAAGCCAAACACTTTGCCACACTTCCAATCCACCTTCAGCTGAAATGTAGCTTATCAAAGTGCCCTCCAGGCCTATGGAGCCCCTTATGGGAGAAAGTACTGGGCATAGGACCTGAGCAGAGCAGGCACCCATTAACATTGCCATTGGCCTCTTGGGTCCTCTTAAAGTAAGACGTGGGACAGAGGAAGAGTGGCTAGGTAAGAATATGAGCTTCAGGTGTTCCGACTACACAGGGGCACAGTATGTCAGGCCAGCCTCTCCCTCTGCTCTTCCCCCTCCCCCATTGGGCTCTGAACCCAAGGAGGGTAGAGTTTGGGAGGGCAGGTGGTGAAGAGACAACGGCACAGGGATCCTGAACTCTAGAGAGTCAAAGGGAAAGGAAAGGAGGAAGTGAGTAAGAACCATGGATCCTTCTCAGGTGGCCTTCTCATCTGGGATTCTCTTCTTGCCTGTGCTATCCCGCCCAAATAAAAAGCGTCAGTCTTGCCTCTTGTGGGCTGAGGAAATCCAGGAAATGCTTTGAGGGCTGTTTCCTTTTGAAAAGTGGACCAGAGTGGTGCTACAAGCTTGTACATTGCACTGAATTGAGTATATCCTTGATGTCAGGAAGTAGGTTTCCGGAGTTGCTGGGGTAGCAGTATGTCAAATTCTCGCGCTTCCTTTGGGCAGAATAAGACAGGAGACATGTTTCTTCTATGCTGCTTTATTTTTGTAAGGATACACTGAAACGTTAGATGGAAACAGCTAATGACAAATGTGGAAATGAGGTGTTGGCATCTACAACCACTCCTACAGTAATATATGAATATGTATTTTCATGTTTATGCTGATATTGTCTCATTATATATGCAATATCATAATGAAGAGTACAGTTAAGTAGGCAATCCTGCGTTCTAAGGAAGCAGGAGGTGGAAAACAGTCCTGCCCTTGAAGGATGATGACAATCCCCAACAGCGCCCCCGAGACTCAGCTAAACTCGGAGGGAAAGTTCTAAAATCACAAAAAAGGGGACTTTGAAGTCTTCTTGAACACAGACAAAGAGCAGACAACAGCTAAGTTACAAGGAATTCAACCTGTCACGGTTCTGAAATGTATTTTTGTTGATGACAGCCCTGTGCCTGCTCAGGTACCCCTCTAGAGTTTTCGTCACTTCTACATGATGAATCTCAAAACTGCAGGATGTCTGAGGAGGCTCCAATATTGTCATGCAAGTTTCCAAACCGATAAACTATCTTACTATTCATTAAAACAAAACAATTTTTAAAAAAATTTAAAAGGACAGGAGGGTTAGTTTTGTTAAGCTTCCAGAAGTAGTCACTGTGACATTGTTCCGAAACAGGCTCATTTTCTCAGCTCTTCTTAGACTTCCCAAATCACCTGTGCATTCCATGCTTTAAAGCAGGAATGCTCAGAGAACACGCCACGTGGGGGAGTCAAATGTTAGTATGGGGGAAAAGTCAGTTGAGAATTACAGCTAAGTTCAAAATGTTAATTTTCTGGAAATTTGGGTTAGTTATGTGAAAGCACAAAAGAACAGAAGGAAGGTCAGAGTTTTGATGAGGAAATTAGACCATGCATTCTGGCAAGTTCTTTCACTGCCTACAGAAGAAGGTGAACAGTGAGTTGGAGCAGCCGCTGCAACTCTTGCACAACAGTCACGTGACTGTGGGTCCCAGCTGAGCCCCAAAGGCATGTCAGTGGGAGCCTTATCGCCTATGCTTCTTGCTTACATCACGAAGTGGCTACATGTTTAGCACTTTTCTGTTCTATGAGAAACATGCAGAAGAGTCAATCTAAGTTTTTGTTTTCCCATTGCAGCAACAGAAATTATTTTTGCTGCAAGGTTGCTCTTTGCTAAATCCTAATATGATCATTGTGTGCCCTTGGTTGATTAATACTGTAAAATGGGAGCAAAAACAGAAAAAGCAACTTTCAAGAGGTGGAAACTCACTCTTCCCCTATGGATAGTGCAGAGGGAGTGAGCAAAGGACACAAAGTATGGTTCAAATACCATTTTACAGGACAGGAGCCCCTGTCAAGTTACAGCTTTTTGGCACAGTCGGGGCAATACACCTGCTCATTATGAAACACAAAGCGTTTGTTGGCCAGATTCACGGAGCATTTTTTGCAGTGGAAGCAGTAGTCGTGCCAGGATTGTCCTTCATAGGCCACCACACTGGAGCCTTTACCAAACCCTGAGGAAAAACACAAGAAAACAGAGAGACAGCTGAATGAAGACAGATGATGACTCCAGGAGTCAGAGATAAAATGACAACTTGCCCATTCATTGAGCCAACAGGCACACTGTCAGTGTCTGCCTGGCTCTCTGCTCCCCTCTACTGGACCACGCATTGTCTCCCACCACGCATTGTCCCCCGCGCTGCCACTGTCCCCCTTGCCGCCGCAACCCTTCTATGGCTGTCAAGGACCTGAAAAGAGCTCAGCCAATGGTTTCCCTGATTTAAAGAACCCTTGTTCCCATGCCACCACCACTATAGCTCTGTGACGCGCCGACCTCCCAGCATAACCAGTGTCTTTTAAAGTCAGGGCCATGGCATCAAAGTGGCCACCAGGAGGCAAACTTGGGCTGTTTGTGGGGTGTGCACTTACCGGGCCTTGAGGAGCTGCTAAGCTTCGATTTTTTCTATAAAGAACCACCACCCACGAGGGACAAGTCCTCTCTCCACCCGGATGCCTGCCCCGGAGGTTGGCGCTGGGAAACAGGGTGAGAGGCAAGCGTTTCCCGTGGCACACTGGGGGCTTCCTAGCTTTAGAGACTGGGTGGCTCACTCTTGACACAGTCCTTTTCCCTGAGGATGGCAAAAGTCTTCTCAAATGTACATTTCAAGGCTCCCCGGGGAGATGGGAAAATTGGAGGCAAGGGAAAGGGCTCGGGGCACGTGGATCGCGGCCGCAAGATGAGGAATGAAGTGATTAGCATTGCTTCTGATCATAAAAAGATTAAAAATAAATCAAAATGATCCTGCTTAAGCAGGCCCCTTTGCACTAGCCTTCCACTATGAGGTGGTACAAACCCAGGTTATAGCTTTCCAGCTTCCCTAACCCTCCCCATTCCCTCTTTTTTGGCCCCTCCCCTGCCACTAGCCCCTCCCACCTATTTCCCCTTGCCCCCACCCCATCACCCATTTTCACCCTTGTGCAGGGCTTTGCTCCCAGGCTTGTGAACTCCCGGCATGTTAGTTGTCAACGGTAGTCAGGAAGTGTTCTGCCTTGCAAGGGTTAACCTGGCCTGGGAGACAATCCAAGCTATTGGGGGGGTGCCTGGGGAGCCACAATGGTAGGGGCAGAATGGCATTGTCTGGGGGTCTTTTGTGGATGAAACCGACGCCAGGAAGATGAGAGATGGTTACATGCGCAAAACCTAGCCTGGCAGACTTAGCAAGGACTCTTTAGCCTACCAGTGATGGGGTTCTTGCATCCAGCACACTTCTTGGCCACAAAGTTCTTGTAGCAATCCACGCAGTAATACTGGTCCTCCACAGCAGTGAAACGCTGCCCAGCCAGCTTCTTAGAGCAGGTAACACACACAAAGCACTCGGCATGCCAGGGCTGATCCTGGTAAGTGATTCCTCCAGATGTGATGGCCTAGACCAGGGAGTGTAGCACCGGGATTCAGATTCAACAACCAGGCACTGTGCTGGGTGCTTTGGTATATAGTATCTCATTTCATTACCACGACAGCCATGGGAGGCAGGTGCTATTATTATCCCCAATTTACAGATGAGGACACCGAGGCCCCTTATACAGAAGGTGAGCCTCTTCAGAAGGAAGTGAAGTAGAGGAAGCAGGCCTCCAGAGCCGGGGCTGCCTGGCTCAGAATGGAGGGGCACAAAGCTGTGATGCTGCTTTCTAACCCCAGGCTCCTCCTCTGTAAAATGGGCATAATAATTCCTACGTCACAGGGCTATCATGAAGATGGAATGAGACAGATGGTGTGTGTGCAAGTGCTCTGAAAACAGTCAAATACCAGGGAAACATTCAATGTAGATCTACCACAACATACCTTGTTGCATTTCACGCAATGCTTGGCAAACTTGGTCTCATGGCAAGTCACACAGTAGAAGTCCTCCCCTTTAGGGAAGAAGCTTCCGGTCCCAATGACTTGCTTGCAGTTGCTGCAGGTGAAGCAGTCTTTATGCCAGATGGTGCCCTTGTACTCCACGTTCTGGTCTCCTGCAGGGGGAAGCAATTGTATAGCCCCATTGACAGGCTCTGTAGTGAGCTGCATCTGCTCAGCTTCCCAGCCCACCCCCAGAGGTGAGGGGATGCAGGCCCTGCAGTCATTGGCTTCCCTCAGTCTATCCAGGTGCTACTTGCAGTCATGCCAACCCAGGGTTTTGTCACAGGTGGGGATCCTGGCAATACTATTTAGGATGAGGTACCTGAACCTCCACTCCCACCTCCACCAATGCAATGTCTTAGAGTTTCACTAGGGGGGGTGCCTAACCCAAAAATGCCTGAGGAAGAAGCATGCATGGGTCACTTACTACACCCAAAGGAGAAAATGCTACATACTTTTCACTTCATTCTCTTGTCACAGACTGTTCTCTCCAGTGCTCTTTAGTCTCCGAGTGTATGCGTGTGTGTGAGCATATATACGTACGCATATATACATGTATGTATATGTGTACATATATATGCTAAAATCTCAAAGCGGCTCACAGCAATGTTAGCCCCATCAGGACAAGCAAGCATACATCATGTCTTCCCTCAGGATGGGAGGGGGCCAATACCTGCCACAATGGCCTTGAAGCACCCTTTGCACCTGGGGGAGTCCTCCCGAGTGGCACACTTGTTGCACAGGATCTTGCCATCCTTGGACACAAAGGTCTCACTGGCCAAGGGGTGAAGGCACTTGGCACAACGGAAGCAGTTGTCATGCCAGTAGCGATTCTTATAGTGCACCTCCTAAACATCAAGCAGAGTAGGGTGGCCACTGTGAGGGGCACTGGGAGCAGTGGCATGAGCCTTACCATCATACACCAGGTTCTCCAGGGTCAGGTGACTACTCACTCAGATGTCAGCCCCTCCACTCGGGGATGCCCCGTGGTAAGTGCTTTTAGGAGTGACAGAAAGAAAACTGTGGTGAAGGTGAGAGCCTCACAGTTCCCAAAGTATGTAAGAGTACAGTTAGGAAAGACCTCATCACAAATCTAAAATCCAAAGTGCTCCAAAACCTCAAGCTTTTTGAGTATTAACAGATCTCAAAAGGAGAAAAGTACACATCTGGTCTCATGTGCCAGGTCACAGTTAAAACGCCGAAACAAAACTCACAGTTTATTCTGTGTCCCTGGGAAAAGCAAGACCTTTCCAGTCCATTCTGCTACAGTGCACAGATGCTACTCCACAATTTTTTTCTTTAAAAAATATATAACAACAATAAAAGAAAAGGAGGCCAGAGACCATGAATTTGAGAGAAAGTGCACAGGAGCTGGGGGATGCCCAGAAAGAGTTGGAGGGAGGAAATGGAAAGGGGAAAATTATATAATTATATTTAATTAAAAGAAAATCATTGTTTAAAATCATCTTCACGATATGAACACAGAGGCTATATGAAATGCAAATGAATTTTGTGTTTAGATTTGGGTATCATTATCAAGATCTTCCATTAAATATGCAGAGGTGTTATAAAATAAGAATCCAAAATCAAACACATTTGTTGCTGAGCATTTCAGATAAAGCCACTTAACTTATGCTACATAAAAACTGGCAAAGGCTTTAGTGGGCCATCTAGTTCAAGGCCCATATTCTTACTGTTTTAAGTTAGGGACATCATAAGCACCATGGGGATCAGAGAATCTGCCTCAAGCACTTAAAACTGTTGTTATGAAAATTCAAAATGGTGGTGTTGCTGGCAAGGCTTCAGGAAAGCACCTGAAGCCCAGCCTGCCCTATTTCCCCTCAGGGATAAGAGTTACCTTGGCATCAGCACTTATGGGCTTGCGGCATTCCACGCAGGTATTGGCGCAGAACTTGTCAAAGCACTTTAGGCAGCAGTGGTGGCCATCTTTCTGCACATACTTTTTCCCCTGCAGGGGGTCCCTGCAATAGTGACAGTCGAACTTCTCAGACATGGTGCCCACCTTATAGCTGGAGGGACCTGTAGGAACAAGCAAGCAGAAGAAATGTACAAGGGGAAGCACTGCTGCCGTGTAGTTGGGAAAACCCTATGGGTCCTTGGGGCCCAGCTTCCACTTAAGCCTGGCTAAGTTATCAAGTGTCACAGCAACCGATACTTCACTATGGCTCCCAGTAAGAAAATGCCTCTAATTTGAACTCCAAGTATCACATGTCAAGGGCCAGTAACTCCCTGGGGACATGTCAGAATTACTGTGCTGACTCACAGAGGACACTAAGGAGGACAAGTTGACCAGGGCTTATGCTGGTTAAGGTCACCACCCCAGAGGGATTCTGGGAGATTCATCCATTGTTGAACAGTGACCAGGAATAGAAACGGGAATGGAAAGGTGAGGGTGGGGGCGGGAAAAGAAGGCAAACTATTGGACAAGACAGGAATACCATGTGCATTACAGCACTGGTCCATGTGCTGACCCCTAGGCTAGCACAGACAGTTCAAGAATGAGGTCAAGCAGGGGCTGGGACCACTGCTCCTACAGCTACCCACCACTGGCAAAGCAGAAGCTTCTCTGACAGCTGTTACTTCATATTGTCACCTCATATTGGGGAGAATAGTGGTCTCACTTCAGTCCTGCCTACACAGCTCTATTAATCAGAATAGATACTTAACAGCTAAGTCATTACCCCCGGGTACACTTGCAGCCCTCATGAACTTATTCCAAATGTTTAAGGGTACTTGAAATCCTGCAGTAGCAGCTTCAGTCCTTGAAAAGATCCCAAAGCGTTTTGTCCCAGATACTTTCCCAATGGCTGAGGCCAGGGAAACAGCCATTCTTGCCTGGCATGGGTACAGTTTGCAATTATTTGTCACAGTGAGTTGCCATTTTGTGACACATCAAAATCATATATCTCTCCGGTCAAGCCAGTGAGGACTGGCTTATTTATTGAGGCATTTATTACATTTTGGCATATTTGCTGTTCTAAACAGCAAAAGTTTCAAGTATAATCTGAAAAAAAAAAACCTGACTTTTGCAAAGGGTTAAATCATTCCAAGAACTTCCTCCTTCCATTCCCCCCTTTGCTCCCCATCCGTACCCCAGCTGTGGTCCTAGGTAACCATAAAATAATAAGCTCCTTTGCCAAGTCATTTTTCTAAAGAATCCTCCCACCAGAAAGGGTTTTTATTAGTTCCCAGTTTCTTTACACGTAATGCTAATTTTTCATTCCCACTAAAAAAGAACTTTAGATAAGCAAGCAGACAGCAATTATTTAATTTGTGTTAGGAACACAAGAACTGAAAGTATTTTAACGCAAACCACTCACCCTGCCCCTAATTTAGAGAAAGAATGCGGGAAAGAAATGAGCAGTTGTCTGCTACTCACCGCTGCTCTGCCACCAACGGAATGGCCCCAAGCTCTTGCTTTGGGTTCCATTCCCAAGTCTTTTTTTTTTTTTTTTTTTAAATGTAACCACATGTCCAAATTGTTTGGATTCTGTTGCCATAGGCAACCAAATAGCAGAGAGTGAGCTAAGGAAACCACACCCTTTGTCTGGGAAACTGCTTGGGCTGCGGCTGGTGAACCCTCACTCAGACCCCCATCAGTCACTTATGCCAGTCACTCAACAAGGCCATGGAACACACACAACGCCCGCTGGCTTACACTTCCACCACCCAGGACCCTCATCTCAGAGAACTGACATAGGAAGCAAACAAGCAACATTTTTGTGCAAAGACAGTTCCTTGGCACAGTTGTATCCCTGTCAAGTCAATAGGGAAGAGAATATTTCTTGCTCGTGCTTTTCTCCAAGAACCCCTAGAGATGTTCCCTCATGTGCTTAGGTTAGATAGAGTACGTCCACACAAGGAAGTCAGGTCTACCTCCTTGAGCTACCCAGTTACTGTGAGGCATCTGTTCAACTTCCTGTGGCCTACAGGCACAAGTATCTGTGGCCATGACAGCCTATGAAAAATCCCTTTCCATTTGTTCTGGCTGGTCTCTCCAATTTGTTTTCTTATGCCATGTGGAAATTGTGCAACAATTGTTTGTGTACACCAATAAAGATGAGCTTAGGAGCAGGAGCCCTTTCTAACACACATGAGTCCCTGGTTTTAGTCCTTCAATCATTTAAACCACAAACTAAATAAAATGAAAGTAAACACAAGGAACTCAAGTCGGCAGTGGCTCCTAAGTGCCATGGCAAGGAAATAGAATTAACACAGTATTGCAATCCTGATGGAATTGACCCTCCAGAGCCTATCATCTTGGGCCATATTTGAAAAGCAATCATCCTCCCTTACCAAGTTCTCTATTTCTTGTTTAATATCACTCTCTTAATGTCTAGAAAAGCAGGATTGGAGTCTAAATATTTCTTTATTCAAGAACTATACTGTCTTTCCATATGAATTTGAGAATTGTTCTTTCAAGATCTGTAAAGAACTGTGTTGGTATTTTGACAGGAAGTGGATTGAATCTGTAGACTGCTTTTGGTAAGATGGCCATTTTTACTATGTTAATCCTGCCAAGCCATGAGCATGGGAGAACTTTCCATTTTCTGAGATCCTCTTCAATTTCTTTCTTCAGACTGCCCTTTCGATCACTTTCTCCTAGCAGGATGGCCTTTTCAGGCCACAGAGGAGAGGGTGAAGGCAGTGCTGATGAGACTTGATAGGCTGGGGTCAGATGGTAGAGGAGGAAAACTCCTCCTTTCTGAGGAATAGGGGAAGGGATGGGGGAAAGGAGGGAGGGTGGGACTGTGAGGAGATGAGGGAGGGGGCTACAATCAGGATATAAAATGAATAAATTATAAAAATTAATAATAAAGAACTATACTGATTCCCACCTAAAAGGAGTCCTACCTTTTGGCACTGCTGAGCTATAACTATGGTTTAAAATACAGGTTCTGGCATCACACAAAAGTAAAAAAAAAAAAAAAAAAAATGCTAGAAAAAACAGCAAATTTCATTTATAGGTATCTGATGGTCTTGTTTTGACTTTTCTTTGGGACAAACTCATTAGCCCAGGCTGGTCGTAAACTTGTAGGGAACCTTCTACTTTGACCTCCTAAATGTTGAAATTTTTATAGGAATAAGCTGGTTTCTAGAGGTTTTCCAGATGATAGCTACACTATGGTTCAGAGCACCAGAGAGATACCTGCCAAGCCTTCCTTACTTTAAAAGCATGTATTTTCAGAGACAATCCCAGGAGCAAGTGTCCAACCTTTTGACCCTGTGACATGATGCTGTGAACTACAAATGTGTTGGGGGCACATTCATAGCTATTCTGGGATGCATGTAATCTGCAGGTTGCAGGCTAAACATGCCTATACCAAAGTGTATTGAAAATGTCCATCAGTGAAAGCACACACTTCCACTTCATTCCTTTAAATGACAGGATCTTAAAGCACACCAAAGACATATTAAATGAGTCAACTCCAAGTTAATGGTACCAATAAGAAGGGCCTTGGGTCTCAGTGTTTTTAAGTTTTGGGTCTCAGTGTTTTTAAGTTTTGGCTTTTGGCAGTACATCTTTTTGTTGTTGTTGTTTTGGTTTCTGTTTGTTGTTTTTAAGACAAGGTTTTTTGGTGTAACAGCCTTGGCTGTCCTGGAACCCACTCTGTAGATTAGGCTACCCTTGATCTCAGAGATCCACCGCCTCTGCCTCCAAGTGCTGGGATTAATGGCATGTGCTGCAACCACCACCACCTGGCTATTTATTTACATTTTAAAAGCCGGAGAAATCAGGATCACCTCAGATTTCCCAGTGCAGTATACTTAAATCTAGATTCTGTATGCAGCTGGAGAAAACATATTTCAAAGAGACTATTTAAGAACTGATTTTGAACAGTTGACAAGTCATTTCTATGTGTAGAAACACCTATTAATCAAGAAAAGATAGATATGACTAGGAATGTTGGCTTTATCACCTAATGCTAAACAAGATGGAAATACTTAAAGTATATTAGTAATGTCAAATTTATTAACTTTATTTTTTTCAAGATATCTAAGTGAAATTTTGTGCAACCTGAATTAGTTTCATTTGTCTGATAGTATGATTAGTTGGTACAAAAGTATTTCAAACCCTTATAACATGTTTTACTACAAACCTGGAGTAGTATATTCCTCCTAGTGAGATGTTTCACTACACCAAAACATTGCATAAAATATAGGTAATATGATCAAGACCATTCACAGGAATTAAGGGCGCTAAGGACCCACCTGACAAATGGCAATGCTGGCACAAAGGCTCCTAAGGGAGAATAAATGTCCTAAGTAGCAAGTACAAAGAAAAATGGAGCCGCAGTTCAGAATTCGTGAGAAAGGGAAAGCTTGCAGCATCCCCCCTTTTCCTTCTGTAGAAATCACCAGATGAGAAAGAAAAATGAACCTTTTTGGTGGGGCTCTCTCTACTCTTGTTGAATCTCACACTCTAGCATTTATCTCTTAAGAAATAAATGTATCCTCTTAGCAACTTATAGGTACATGAAATGTTCAACCTTTTACACCCTACAAACTTCCAGACACATTTGCCTTGACCTATTGTGGTTTTAACTTGGAAAGGCCATCCATTATTAAAAGAAAATTTTGCTTCACGCATTTACAATGCTGCTTCCCTTATTGCTTCTTTGTGGAGAACACTGTGTCCTAGGCTGTCTTCTTTGATGGATTTTGATCCCTTTGTGGCCTTCGTTTGTACATGGTAGGGAGATTTCTGACACAGATAATTCTGCCACTATAATAAAAGCCCAAGGATCTAGTCCAGGACCTTATATATAGAAACCATTCTGTATGCCCTGCTGGCAGACAGATGGAGAAAGGTCAGCACTCTTAACCTTCTAAAACTTCAGTGTGTGGACAGGCACTCAAAATGGATTCCAAGCCAAGGATCTGAACCTCTATTTCTAGGCAATATTGATTTTCCTTCTGGAATATTTTTTCTCTTTCATGAATGAAATTCTCTTCTACTTTTATGGATAAAGGAACCAAATACAATGCAAAATACTATTTCCCCATTTGAAAACTCACCTCCCATTATCCTAAGGTCCCTAAACTATACAAAGCAGGCATGTGAATGGCATCTAATTTTTGCAAGCCATCCTTGATATAAATGTGTTTATAGCAATTCTAGATGCTTAGCTTAATACAGTTAGAATATAGCTGAGTGATCAAACATTCTAAGCTGGGAGCCTAACATCTTCATTCAATAAGTAAGCTTCATCTTTCAGAAAACAAACAAACAAACAAACAAAAAACCTGATTTATATGCAAAATGCTGATTTATATGCAAATTGCCTACAGAAACCTCAATAAAAATTTAAGGGACAGAGGGGATGGGTCTATCAGTAAAATGCTTTTGCGAGCATGTGGACTTGACTTTGGATCCCCAGCATCTACTTCAAAAGACAGGCACACTTGTGTGTGCTTGAGGAGACAGTGAGAGTATAATCCCTGACACTTTTACTGACTAGCCAGGCTAGCTGAATTGCTCAGCTCCAGGTTCAGAGAGCGCCTGTCTCCAACATAAGATGAAGAGTAACTGGAAACACCCAACACTGACTACTGGCCTCTCCGGTTATGTGTGCCTGTGCACACGTACACAAACCTACACACGCACACAGGATTAAGCACCCTTACACAGATGTGTGCACACACAAAAGAAGACTGGCCTAGCTTCCCATTTACTCATACAGACATCCTAACTAACACTTAGAAACGAAGCAGGAACTACACATCAGTTAATTAGAGCAGGGAACTCTCCTGCAACACTTCTCTTAGTGTGCACCTGTTACAGAAACCTTGTAGTTCACAAAGTCTTGCTCGTGGTTTTATATAGTTTCTAATGTCCTTCATGCTAATGTTCATTTATCCCTCAAATCAAGTGGTTCAAATGAAAATTTCAAGGGAAAGTGGGTGTTATATCTAGGCAGCCTTGTCTGTGTGCTTTGCCTGACTGCTCGAACACAGCAAACACTGAACACCACCCAGATGGTAAACAAAACCCAGCCTTTTTCTAGTCTGTTCATTGCTTGGTGTGGCACATCGGCGCCATAGCAATAAATATTGGCTTCCAGAGAAAAGGGCATATTGCACTCCTGAGGACATTCAACAAATGGAAGGAAGTGTCAGCTGATGAATAAGACACTTGTGTGACAGATAGCCTAACACACACCTGGAGGTATCATCAGACATTTGGTAATAAAACACCTAAATAGCTTCAAGGTGATGGAGCTCATGAGTCACAGCAGAAAAGCAGTCTCTCATCAAATATCATAGAAAATTCAGGAAGTATTGCTGTTGCTGTTGTTGTTATTATTATTATTTGCTTAAAAATACAACACGAACACAATGATTCAATGTTACTAGCAACTTCTCTAATGTCATGTTTGATTAAAAAAATTAAAAGATGTTCTGGTTCACTGTTATACATACAGATAACACCATTTTAGTTCATGTCTGGTACAAGAAGGGTTGGATACATGATTCTTAAATGAAATCATATCTTCTATTTTTCCATCAAAGTTGTGACTACTATTACTCTGTCTGTCTGTCAGTGGTTTTAAGAAGGCAGTCCCCTTTGACTCCTCTCCTTTTCCCCCAACTGTCAATTTCCATTTCTGGCCTTTAAAAAGAAAAAAAAGGGGGGGTCCCCCGTGGTGGTGGTACACGCCTTTAATCTCAGCAGCACTCAGGAGGTAGAGGCAAGTGGATCTCTGAGTTTGAGGCCAGCCTAGGCTACAGAGTAAGTTCCAGGACAGCCAAGGCTACACAGAGAAACCCTGTCTCTGAAAAAAAAAAAAGTGTGCCACCTGTTTGAGGAGTACTGGGCAGTTGGCTGGTGAAGAGAAATGGTAAGTATAGGATATGAAAATTATCTTAATTAATTCTCTCTACACCCTCATACTGGGCCTTGACTTGAAAAGCCAAAGAGTAAAAGGAATTGAATTGATTTTTTTTCAGACAAAAATGTTCAATGTGGAAAGTATACACTTTTGTCCTTAAAATATCCTGACTGTGTGTGTGGCCAACTAAAATCGAATCCAAATCCAAAAGACAGAACCTTCCTGTTGGCCAACTGAAGCACATTTCAGAGTGACAGTGACTTTCTTCCTGCGAGGTCTTCTCTCCTCTATGAAACTAGTTATTCTCTGCTTCTTTGCAACTGAACCTAACATCTTGTAAACTGTTATTGATTTGCAAAATCATATAACAAATGTACACAATTGTTCTAACAATTTAGGTATTATTTAATTTATTACCATCATTATCATCATTTTCACCACCTAAAAGTTTAGGTAATAATTTTAGGTATGCCATAAATACTACCTATTAAACAATTGCTTTTGACCCTTAAGTAGTAAACAAATCTACCACCAGTTGATGTACGTAGAGTCAGTTTCTCACCACCAGTTGATGTACGTAGAGTCAGTTTTTCCATAGAAAAACTGGTACTGCTGATTGGTTGGCAGATAATCACCATCTCAGACATGTGCTACCATGTTTGTAAAACAGTCTCTTAGGGTTACAGAAAAATCAAACAGCTTTGAAACTCTCAGAAACTGCATAGTAATTAAACTTCTAATTAATATTAATTAACGTGGTGAACTGCACTTCAGTATATGTGCTTTAAAATATTGAAAAAGGAATTTCTTCAAAAACTTATTTCCATTGTCAAAATATCAACAGGCAATCCCTAGTTTCAAAAATAAAACTTGCAAACAAACAAACAAACAAACAAACAAACAAACCAAAAGACAATAGAAACTTTGTCCCTTAACCTGAAAGTTGGGAAACAGGACCGAATGTTTAGCTTCCACCCAACTATCTTCATTGGCTCCAAGAAAGGGAACCGTTACTTGGATAGAGGGCAACAGAGAAACAGCTACATTCTTGGCTTTAGAGAGTGACAAAGACAGCAGTACTGGGTTTCCATTCTCTAGCCCCTATTTCACAGGCATCTTGTTTAAGGTCAGAATGATCCCTAATGCCAGGCTATAAAACATGAGGAAAACTCTCATTCATGGTTTTTATCTAGGGGATAGAAAACTTTTTCAGCTGAGAATAACAAAGACCATATTTTCCAAAACAAAAAGACCGGTAACTGCTTCTTTAGAAAAATTACAAATATTGTTCAGAAAAAGGAAAGATGTGTTAATTCCTTTATAGATACTATACCTACAAATAATCCTCCTTCCTTTCCATATTCAACTTCTCTTTCCCTAAACACCTTAAGTTAGATTTCAAGCACTGTACAGAGCAGTCTAACAACCCACGACACAAAAACGAAAAATTCAAACTTCTTTCCTCAAGTCATCTCTTAGTTTCAAAAGATATCCTGAAATATAAAAATCAATAAATAAATCAAAACATCTAAGCTTACTTAAGAAAGAACACTTAGGTCTTTAAAATAGCACAAGAACAAGACAGCAGCTAGGATTTACTTACCATTTACACAGCACTAAAATCATTCAGTCCAAATTCATCTTTTATACAAATGACAGATTCACTGGCCTAAAACAACTCTCCTCTAGATAAGAGAAAGAACAGAGTTTTTACCTGAGTGCCTTTGAGAAGCCATGGCTCAGAGGCCAAGTTCAGGAGCAGTACCAAGACCTGTCTTCTCTCAACCCCAGATGATAATGCTGTGGCTCATTTGTGAACATACATTTAAGGGGAAGCAGCTCACACAAAAATAACCAAGAGCAGATGTCCCACCCCTCCCCTGAGATCACAACCTTAATCCCACTAGAAAATTCTTAACCATTTTAGGTATCCAAGGGAGAAGAATAGGACCCAGTAAAAATACCAAACGCTACATATAAATACCTGTGGGGCTACTCAGCATCCAAATTAGCTTCAGAGCCAGAAAGGCCACATAGAAAGTCATCCCCATGCCGGAATAAATTTTGGATTCAGCTCTTACATAGCTTAATGCTGAGCCAACCTTATTAATTCACTTTATATGCCACAAGAGCTTGCCTTTGGTCCTATAAATAATCCATTTTGCCCTGATAATAATGAAATTAACTATAGGAAATGGACTTTTGCTACTAGTGTAATTAAAGGAAGCTAGACACTACAATGAGAGAGCTTAAGAGCATTATAGACATTTAATGTATTCTTGGCTTTGTACCAGCAAACAGCAGATAACTGAAACAGGCATCAGCTCTAGGCACCCTAATACCAGGAACTGATAGAACAGAATGGTATAGGTCCCACCCATGCACACCCAGCTACTTCTATGCTAAAGACAGTCTGCCTTACAGTTTTTGCTGCCACCACCAATGATAAAAACATGCATACAGATATCAACCATCATACGTTATAGTCGTTCCATGGGCTGGACACTGGTGACTGTGAACAGGTTCTGCGAAACGCGTCAGTGTCTGTCTAGGGCCTTTCCTTTGCCCTGGCTCCTACCTCACTGGCTTCCTTGCTGTCCCCCCTACCCTCTCAGCACAAAGCCTTTCCCAGCTGTTCTTCTCACTGTCTGAACTCTTCACTGAAAGCCACTCCAAGAGTGAAGTCTCTGACCATATGTACAGTTCTAACTGGGCCCATATTGTTCCCATCTTCTCCCTGCTACTCTTCTCCAATACAATTTTCCTTCAGTTCTAAAGCCCTTCTAACAGCAGGCATCAAAGTGACTTCTCTGTTTGTTTGTTTGTTTGTTTGTGTGTGTGTGTGTTTTTTTTTCTTATTCTTCCTTCTGCTCTGTGCTGGTGGTCTTATCCAGAATACAGCCCAGCTCCAGAGAAGTACTCAAGAGCTATCTGTTTAAGGAATACATTAAGACAAACCAAAAATGTCAATTAATCCTCCAAAACACACTCCCATCTATAATCTAAAAAGTGGCTCCAAAATAGAGAAAAGACTTTTATTCTGGGACAGGTCCTGGGGTTGGTACTTAACAACCACTATTTTGTTTGATATTGTATGTTCCAGGCTGTTCCTGCAGCACAGAGTAAGCTAATGTGATGTGAACAGATGGGTAAATGAGTTTCCCAGTTCTTTTGGCCTTTAAGCTTTCAAGGAAAAGTTATTCAAGAAGATAGCTGAACTTTCTGCCCTCTCTTGGTTACCTGAAAACGGTCATACGAATAAAATTCAGGATACCTAGTTAAAAAAAATGAGCCTAGGAAAATAAGGTATGTGGCATTGTGCTCTCTTCCATAACTTCCTAGGTATTTCCTTGTTCAACATTATTATAACAGCCTGAATAGTTACAACAATACCACACCCCTAAAATCAATATACACTGTTCACCTAGGGAAACAGTGGCTTGAATGTTATAGGAGCAATGAACCATTTTATTATTATATTTAAGTCCTACTTCACAAAATGAAAGCCACATCTGGTACCATTACTGAGACTAAGAACTTGTAGTTAGACAGGCCATAGACCATAGGAGAGAATATACTATTATTATTCTGCTATATGGGCATAGTATTAAGATGACTCCTAATGAATTATCATTATACCCATGAATTAGTGCATCTCTCAATCCTCATCAGAAAATCTTTCTTTTTGCAGTAGATGATGATTAACATAGAAACCCCACAACTGGTCAAAGTATAGAGACTAATACTGAACAATGTTCAGCCCTAAATGGAACATCTATACTGCATCACCTTTCCTGATGTTCATAGATCCTTGTGGAAGAAGGGACAGAAAGATTGTAAGAGCCGGGGGACCATGGATTACTACAAGGAAATAGTACTTTCCATGTGCAGCAGCGCATTTACACATATGAGTTCACAGCAGTCAAGACAGCATGCACAAAACCCTCACAGGCTCTAGCCAGGCAAAATCCCAGCATAGAGGGAGAATGGTAGAGACCAAATCCAACCACTAATTAAGTCGTTACTGGCAACTGGTAGTTGCTAAGAGAGAACAATCATCTTTCCTTAAGGATGTGACCCCTGGAAGATTGACTATGCTTCAGTTAAAGGACAAAGAGCCAAGAGTATATGAGCAGTACAAACTCTACTTGATAAGTTAAAAAAAAAAAAACAACAGACAACACGGGGTGAAAGGAGGTTGAATCTTGGAGGTGTTCAGAGAAGGAGGTGATTATGATCAAGATATATTGTACGGAATTCTCAAAGAGCTAGTTAAAAGTGAGCATAAAAGAGAAATAAAGTGAAAAAATTAAAGGTCCTTTTCCAAAAGAAAAAAAAACAATTTCTCAGTAAGAACAGTTAATAAATTATTTTATCTTGGGTTAGTTGTTCAGACACTTTGATGGCTACTTAGCAGATACCCAATCAGTCACTAACTTCACTGGCATTTGAGCTCATTTTGTTATACATTAATAAGATAATATTTAACAATATCTTTGATAATCATAATGTTTACAAAACTTTGTAACGTTTACAAAGTTGTACTGTTTAGTGCTGGGAGAAGCTATCTGGAAGTTAGTGAACAATTCTGTTTGGTACCTATCCTATGCTAGCCATAGCAGGATGACTTTTTTATTGAGTGCTAGTTATCAAATCCTTTCAGCCACCTCTGACATATAATTCTCTCAAGACCATTTACATCAGAGTTTATCTACTCATCCTTGTCTTCCAATAATTCATGGATGCATTTTATCTTCCCATTGGAATCTATCCGTGATTATGCTAACCCATCCATTAGTTTCTCTTATACGACAAACACTTGTTGAACAGATGTCCTACTAAACTGCAAAGTGATTTGTTAGACAGGAAAATTAAGTATGATCCTTATTTTGAAGTGTTACCTGGATAAACATACAAATTATTTCCATGCAAGGTGGAGCATGGTATTACAGGAAAGATCTACAGTGTTATCATTGTTCATCATTGACAGATATTATGTCAAGATAAAAAGCAGAAAACACTTGATAGAGATCATGGCATCTATGCTATGATTTATTCCTGAACAGTGAAGACAAGTGGGCAGAGAATGCAGAGAGGGCATTCAAGAAAAAGGTAGCATGTGGGTCAAGATAGGAGAGGAATATGAAGCCTGCTTAAGAAAGAGAATGAAGTCTGGTTGGGAGAAGGCTGTTATAGGCGGAGTGATAAGAAAGAAAGCAACTAAAGCTAGAGGCTGGAAAGCCAGAGCACACAGGGTAATTTTTTTTTTCCAATTGGTGCAAAAAAAAAAAGAGTATGATTTGAGTGATATAGGCAGTGATAAGGATAGATATCAAAGGAAGAACATAAAGGCAGAAAAGTGGCCTTGACAAGTACTGCATTTGACCAGTACCTTTATATATAGCAGGGCTAAATGAATGTGAGGTACCAGCAATGCAGACAGAAAGGAAAGGCTAGATAGAAAGGATATTATAGGACAGGAAAGAGGGGGTTACTAGCTACAAAGGAGGGGATATAGTAAACAAGCTCCCTGAAGTTGAGATTCTAGGTGAGAGGGAAAATGCGGAGAAGAGTGGCACTTCATTTAGCCTTTTACAGTGATGTTCTTCTGAGATGTCAACAGCTTTTCGAGTCAAGAAAGACCGAATGTAAGATCATAATAGAATACCATTTGTGAGAAGTCTCATGTGCAATATAATCCTAGACGCTGTCTCTGAACAGCCACTGGGAGGCTCACACTTCAGAGTTCAAATAGATGAAACCCAAGAGTCAAACAGCATATTCGGTGACCCACTTGGCCCACATATATCTCAAGACTTCTCCTCCTTCAAAGCATGATTGGTGGTCAGCCCTCTGTCTTCCTCTGTTCTCCTTTTACTCAAAACATTTTCCAAATTCCTGAAAAAACTTATTCCAACAATGAAATGCCACTAGTCATGGCCAAAAGTGAGTCTGGTTACAACATGGAATGGATTCTTGGTGATTTTATCTTGAACTTTTATACATTATTTTATTTTTACCTACTAATAAATTAATACACCTCAAGTTTCTCTCAGTATAATTTTGTCTGGCTGCAAGTCCGTCCACCACCATTTCTCCTGAGTGAGTCTAAACACAAGATTAAAGCATCTCGTCATGTACTATGATATGTTGTGATTCAATGTTGAACTGTCCAGAGTATTTTTTTTGCCCTGTGTACTCTTGCCAAAAATAATTCCAAAGCAGCTTCAGCCATCTCAGGTTCCTGGCAGTCTTTAAGGTTGGAAGAACCCTTTGCCAACTGACATGTCCAATTGTGCAATGTCACTTCTTAAATGTCACAATTCCCAGCATACCCATGAGAGAGCAAAATGAAGGAACACTCTGGGATTACACAAGTGCCACTTCATAACACAAGAGTCAAATAAAAGCCCAGAATTCTGCTTGCCCACAACATGTCTGAGTCTCAGAAAAACAGACAAACAAACAAAAAAACAAGAGTGGCTATGGAAAAGGGGGCACCTATGATAACGGACATAAGATATACAAAAAGACTATAAATAACAAAGCAACTTGAAAATGCCAAGTAAGTCTATTGAAGATAGATAAGCTTTCTTTACAATACTCACTCCGGAACTACGAACGGAAGCATATGCCATGGTCTCTGGACTCTGATTTTTGGAAATGTCATCCTATGATTAGTAATAGTTTTAAAGTCTCTTGTCCCTAAAGTCTGTCCTTCCCCATGTTTTTAAAGAAACTATCACAACCATATCCTATAGATATTTTTCATGA